TCACCCGCGATAGGTTCGCTGGATGTCGCTCATCGCGGCAATTAACGTAGCTTGGAGGCTCTGCCATTTCGGGCTTGCTGGTGCAGTATCGGTAATTCCTTGGTCACTTAGAAACTTGATACACCGAAGCCTGGCGTAGCAGGTTCTGGCCGAGCGGCCGTAAAGTTGGCCTTGCCTCAATATCGAGGGGTTTCAATTGCAATCCCAGTTAGTTTGCAGGTACGCTGGACATTGAATATCTCCCTGCCTTCCGGAGACAGGTCTAATATACGCTTTTGCTGGTCTGGTTGTGTATTCTATGCATCCCAAAACGGGCGATTTTGGTTTTTGAGACCGTCTAGTACCTATCTAGTTCTGCGTAGATCGGACCAAAAATTAATATAAAAAGTTGAAGGTACCCTTCGTTAACGTCGTAAGTGACTGAGGTATTTGATGTCAGTACGAGTCATTTACCAAAGAAAAAAATAGTCATAGTCATAGTCATAGTTATTTATTCCATAGAACAATATTACATTGTATTGGAAAATTAATTACACAAAATCAAAAATTACGTTTACATGCAATTGACATAAATAAAACAAAAATTGAATAAAATTTAAATATCATTTGACAATCATTCTATATACTTATATACATTTAATACTTTTCATGTCATAATTAAATATTTTTCATGTCATAATAGATTAAAATATAGTACATAAATAAAAAAAAATTAACATTCATTAAGTTTATTTTTGTCATTTAGGTATTCGTCAACTGAGTAGTAGCTTTTCTTAATTAATAATGATTTGAGTTTATTTTGGAATTTTCGGTGGCAATAAATAACTTTAAATGAGATAGGTAAAGAATTAAATAGTGCAATGGCTTGATGCCTTGTGCTGTGGCGTACAACATTCAATGTCGGTGTAATTGAAGTTTTAAATCTTTTCGATGTGTCATTTCTCTCTTTTTCCTTTCTTCGTTTGTTTCATATTAGTAAAATTTTTTTACTAAGTATGTAAGTGAAACTAAGACATACAGAGAGGGAACCGTAAGTATGCCAAGTTTTCGAAAATGTTCTTTACACGACTCAATTTGTGGAATACGTAACATGGTGCGGATCGCTCTTTTTTGTAATACAAATACTTTCTTATTAACATAACATAAACACTCACGCCTTTCACCCAGAGGGGTAGGCAGAGACTACAGACATCCATTTAGCACGATCCTGACATACCTTTCTCGCCTCTTCCACATCCATATACCTACGCATACATGCTCGTCGGTTAAGGGTACTCTTAATTTGGCCCATTTTTAGTATATCGCCAATTTGGTCGACAAACTTCCGCCTAGGACGTCCCTTTCCGACTCTTCCATTCACTTCTGCAACATATATTTGCTTTGTCAGTCTTCATTCTTTCTACATTACCAAACCACCGAAGCATTCCTTTCTTAATCCTGGTCACCGCATCATCTTGCAAACCACACTCTTCTTTTATCACACAGTTTCTCACCCTGTCACTCAGATTCAGCCCTAACATACTCCTTAGCAACCGCATTTCTACTGCATTTATTCTACTCTCGTGCTTCTTCTGCCACACCCAACTTTCACTATCATACGTTAAAGTAGGGACTAATACAGCACTGTGAATTGCCATACGTTCCTTTTTTGACACATTCTGACTTTTCACAATAGAGTGTAGAGCCCCATTTACTTTATTTCCTGCATTCACTCGTCGTTCAATATCCTTATCATATCTCCCATCCCTGCTGAATACACATCCCAAATATACGAACTCATCCACTTGCTCAATTAACTCTCCTTCTATTCTTATTTTACATACCGTCTTGCTTTCATCTCTTTCAAAAACCATCACTTTCGTCTTACTTGCGTTCACTTTCATTCCCCTTTCTTTTAATGACCTGTTCATTAATGTAACCATCATTTGCAACTCGGCCGCCGACGACGCAAGTATGACTTGATCATCGGCGTACAAAAGGCATTTGATGGTTAACTCACCCATTCTTAACCCGCATTCTTCAACTTTCAAATTTTCCAAACAGCTGTCCATAAATAGGTTGAACAGCCACGGGGAAGCTACACAGCCCTGTCTGACACCTTTATGGATGCCAAACCAGTCCGAGTAGACCCCGTTGATTCTAACACAAGCACTCGAGTCCCTATACAGAGACTTTAATGCCTGTATCAAACCAGCGCTCAACCTAAATGCGTTCAGCGTTTGCCATAACACATCCCTGTCCACTCTGTCATAAGCTTTTTCCAAGTCCATGAACGCACAAAAAACTTTTTGGTTTTTCGCCAAAAACTTCTCCGCGATCATGCGCATGGAAAAGACTTGATCTGTACACCCCATTCCCTTTCTAAATCCCGCTTGCACATCCCAAATTTTTTCATCAGTTTCTTTCATAACTCTTTCAATTAGTACCTTAGCATACAGTTTTCCCACAATGCTAAGAAGGCTGATACCACGGTAGTTTTTACAGTCCTGCTGTGACCCTTTTCCCTTATATATTGGGACTATCACGGCTTTGCACCAGTCTCCCGGTACCCGCTTTAGTTCCCAACATAAATTAAACAAGGTGTACAGCAGGCCTGCCACCACGTCCTCTCCAGCCCTTAGCGTTTCGAGTGAAACTCTATCATATCCGGCTGCCTTACCTACTTTCATGCTTTTCATTGCTTTCATTATTTCATCTATACTTATCTCCCTATCTCTTTCATCTTCTTTCGGAATTTCTATTTCATTTAGTTCACACTTCTCCTCACTCATAAATTCGCTTTCAAAATATTCCTTCCATCTCTTTAGACTCAACACTTCATCATTCAGGATACAGCCATTCTCGTCTCGTATCGCATTCAATCTAGGCTGTTTTGAAAGTCCCCTGGTATTTCTTACGAGTTTCCAGAACATTTTAATATTTGCCTGGAAGTTATCCGATATTCTTCTATCATTCCTATCCGTTCTTTCTTGCTTTTTCCTTTCAACTAATTCTTTTACTCTCTTATTTAAACGTTTAAACTCTGCCTTTTTTTCATTCTCATCATTCTTACCGCCAGAATTACCAGCTTTGGTCGCTAGTAAATCTAGCCATGCTCTCTTCTTTGCTTCAACTTCCATACGTACCTCATCATCCCACCATAACGTATTGTCTTTCCTTTCATTCGTTCTCTTACTAACACCACATACTTCGGTAGCTGCATCCACTAAACCTTTCTTAACATTATGCCACACATTCTCCAAGTCTAACTCATTCACACACAACTCACCCAAATTACTTATATTTTCTCTCAGTCTGCATTTGTACTTGTCTTTCACATCTTCATCTTGTAACCTCTCAATTCTTATACGCTGTAACGCAGTGGTAGACACAGAGTTTGCCGCCAAGTTGAATCCCCTAATTCGGACAGGTAGGGTGTCTGTTGGACCCCCGGTCCTTGTACTGCGCTCCTCATTCTTTATCCACAGTTATGAAATCTATCATGCTTCTATCATCACCTCTTTCCCAAGTATACATGTGAATCTTCTTATGACGAAAGAAAGTGTTCGTCACAAAAAGATTCCTTTCCACACATACGGTGAGGAGGCTTTCACCATTCTCATTTATACTTTCATCACCAAACGTTCCCAATACCCTTTCATAACCAAGCCTCCTCACCCCAACCCTTCCATTAAAATCTCCTAGCACAATAATATTTTCATTTCCCTTACACTTCATTAACACCATCCTTACCATTTCCCAAAACTGCTCCCGGATATAAGTGGGCTTAGACATGTCTGGGGCGTAGACCCCTAACACAAACAACTTCTTTAAGCCCACTTTCATTCGTATCCATAGCAGTCTTGGGCTTACACATTCATACTCTTTCACACATTGGCCCATTCTTTCTGAAAGGATGATACCTACTCCCTGGCATGCCCGCTCGATCTCGTCTACACCAGACCAGAATGCGGTATACATGCCATGTGATGTGACATCCTTCCCCTTCCTTTTCGTCTCATTTACCCATAATACATCTATTCCTCTATCATACATCATATCGCATACTTCATCCATTTTATCATTCATTGCCCCACATAATTCAACGTAGCCAGACGGGCCTCTGCAATCCACTTTTCGCCTCTCCGGGAGACAGAACGTGACGGGTGGCGAACCTCGTCGCCGGTTTTCCTCCCGGAGATTCTTCGCACCCCTGCCCCATTAAAGGGGCGCACATAGGAGTATTACACATTAAAAACCGGACAAAATTATTTTATATTTTATTTTACTATTTTATGAAATAAAGGTCAATAATTCATCATAGTTAAGCATTTATTTAAAAAGAAAAACAATTAAAAAAAGAATTACACATCTAAGGGAGTATTTACTCTTAAAACAGGATTTGTTTTCAAGAGGATAATTATGAGGAGACCGAATCAATCAGAATCACTGTCTCCGAGTTCACAGGTGATTTGGTCCTCATAATCTTCGTCATTGGAACTGTCACAATTCAGTGTTTTCGTGAGAAGCATACTAATAGCTTCCTGGGAAAAAGACTTGCTTTTCTTCTTCCGTTTTATTCTGTTGCAGCTGATGAAAGGATCGGATGTCAGCAACAACCTATTTAAAATATCTGTGTTGCAGTCCACTCTAGAAAATTTTCTTGCAAAGTCTACGCGATATTTACGGAAATGTTTGTTCCGGGCTTCAGCAGCCTCCTCTGATAGCTGTCCGATAGGTACAATGTGACTTGATATTACTTGAGCGCCATGCATCAGAATCTTGTGAACTGTAGGTGACATGGGATGCCAACCATATAGTTCCACGTACAGTTTGGCAGTTGTGTGAGCAAAGTCATCGAATTTCGCAGGATCAATATCATATCCACTTGATATCACTTCAAGAATGATTTGGAACCTTTTTATCAAATCTATATTTATTCCAGTAATCCGAGATGAGCATTCAGGATTGTCAAAAAATCTTCTCGACGTATTTCCGTCGTTACTATTGCCGTAACCGACTTTGGGTATATCAACAAGAAGGCCCATCTCTTCTTTGAAGCTTTTTTGTATTTTCTGTTTTGTTTCTTTCAAAATATTTTTGTCTTCTGCCGTTCGGGCTTGCCACTTCTGTAAGGGCGCTTTATACGCCAGGTGCAACAATAGCTCGAAGAAACGAATTCTTGCGTGCAGAATGGATAGTCCAAATTTCAGAGACTCTTCACAAACATTACCTATTTCAAGTTTATTGAAGTCCTTAGATGTTTGTCCACATATGTAGCATCTCATTGTTGAAGCCGTATCAGTCGCGGCATTGCACACCTTTCCATCGACCATTGTGAGCAAAATGTTGTGATTTATTTTAACCGAAACTTCCATACCAGTAGTTTCTTTGAGATTCCTTGCTTGTTCTTCAATATAGGTGATTTCTTCCTTTGTGATATCCTTTGTTTCGTGAATGAACCGAGCCCGGATAGGACGACAGAATCTCACCGAAGAAGGCACTGGATTTTGCCATATAATTTTTCTTGTCTCTCCATTAATAGAAACAATCATTCTCACAGGTACAAGAGAACTTAAAAATATATTGGCATCATCGTCACCAGTATTGGAAAATGTCTGCTTAAACTGTGTCTGATTAGATCCATCACAGCCCCATTTTGATATTAAGGTAAGATGTTGTTTCTCCAACTCTGATAATGTTCCAATCACTTCTTTTAAATACTGAAGTAGTCGCAAAGCCGTGTGGTCCAGCAAAGCTTGAAGTTCCACTTCGAAGCTAGTTTCAGTAACTTTTATGCTATCTTCGGCGGGATAACACTCCTTTTTCGCTTTTTGTAAAAGCGAATAGCAAGGATAAATTTCTTTTCGGCCACCTTGTAATAATTCCCACTGCCCTCTTGTAAAATTACCTTCTACAAATAACGCTAATGCTTCTTGTGGTGTGTATTTTCTCACAATTGGTACGTTTTTAGCTGACGATATTGCTTTTCGGAACATTTTAGCTCTGGTTGGCGTTGATGTTATTTCTTTCATAATCTTAGACGCATCAATATTTCCCGAAGTACCTTGACTCACTCTTGCAGCGTACGTCAATTCCTCAACAGGTACCCGGTCCCGTAAATCTTGTGTTCTTCGACGCTTGCTTCGATCACACAATTCTCTGAATTCTTTTGTTGGTCGGCCTGCTTTGTGGGTCCAAGTAGGTAGTTCCAGTGATACATTAAGCCATTCCATATTGTTTTTTACGAATCTCTTATCAGTATTACGGGCTGCCGACCATCTTTCTTTGAAACTGGTCTTGAAATATTTTAAATAACGGGTAAGAACCGTTGTTTCTTTGGGTGGACATGAAGTTAGTTGCACAAGTCTTTCTTCCAACAGCGAAAATTTTTCTTCAATCTTCTTTCCTTTGAACTCTTTGATAATAGTATAAAGCTCCATTCTGGAGATTTTTTTCACTCTTTCCGAAGGATCTATGACAAAAGAAAACAAAAAAATTAGCTTTGTCAATATAATTATAATCTTCCCCATATAGTTTGAAGTGCTATAAAAAAATATGGGGTACGTTGGGGGGACTTTTTATTCATGTTTCTACTTCCTTAGAGTCTACATTTTATGCCCACATATAAATTTTGAGGCGACAAGGCGCGACACATAAACAAAAACACTAATTTATTTCAAATTTCTTTAAAAAACCATAAAAAAAGTTCCGCTGTTTATTGATGGCTATACAAGTAGAAATTTGGAAGAAACATAATAAAATATACTTCAGCATATAGTACTAACCTTCTATTTCCATGTCCGAATAGTTAATCTCCTGCTGTTTGCTATACGAAGCCATTTTATCACAGTAAACTGATTAACACAAACGAGAGCGCCGAGAACATAGACACGCGTACACTACGATGACTGGGTTCCGACTGACGCTGTAGCCACATGCGTGGGAGTTGAGGGTTGGGGGTCTGCCTTTTAATAAGCCGGTTATCGTAGGTAAAGAAAAATGTATTTTGGATGCGGTTGGATTAACATCACTATTTTCAATTTTGCCCCGTTTTTTATGTGTAATACTCCTGTGTGGGGCGCCGGGAACTCGGGGCCATTTCTTTTACTATTTGCCTCATGGTGCGAAAACTAGGGCGTGGTATATTTTACGCAGCTACCACACGGCGAGTAGTCGAGTCTGTTCTTTCGGCTTTGTCGCTCTTTTAGCACCACCCGGGGGAAACGTGTAGGGTGGGCCTAGGATTAGGTGGTCGAAGCCTACGGACGCGAGCGACTTATCCCCCCCTACGGACGCGAGCGACTTATCCCCCATTTCTTATTATTATATTTATAACTGATGCCCCAGAATTGTATGCTATAACGAAGTTGTGATTCTACTAGAGCTAAATAAACCAACTTAAGCTGCTTTAACGTAACTTCGTCTCGTAAACTTCTTAAGGCATAGCATGCTGAACTGATAGTAGATTCTAGTGCTGTCATTTCCTTTTTCCAGTTCCAATACATGTCAGTGTGGATTCCTAGAAATTTTACTGATTGAACAGATTCAAAATTTTTACCGTCAATGTTAATGTTTATTGATTCCTTTTGTTTTGCTGTAGATTTGAAAAGCAGAAAAAAAGGTTGATTAATGTCAGACTTCCAGTCATTGTTTTGACAAGGTTATTTGTAAGGAATTTTTTTGGGAGGACGATACTTAAAAGGTTGATTAGCAATGTTGTTGACAATTTACGCTTCGTCATCATCATCATTACAGCCCTTCACAAGACCAGTGCTGAACATAGGCCTCCCCCAAGGTTTGCCCCAAAGCACGGTCCTGAGCTACCTGCATCCATCGACTTCCTGCATGTCTTACCAGGTCGTCACTTCATCTAGTGGGGGGTCGCCCTACACTTCGCCTACCGGTACGAGGCTGCCACAGGAGAACCTTTTTTCCCCAATGAATGTTGGTTCTTCGAGCTATATGGCCGGCCCATTGCCACTTCAGCTTACTAATCCGTTGGGCTATGTCGGTCACTCTGGTTCTACTGCGGATATCCTCATTTCTAAGTTTATCACGCAAAGAAACTCCGAGCATAGCTCTCTCCATAGCTCGCTGAGCGACTTTGAACGTCCACATACGGCCAGCAGTGAAGGACCACGTCTCACTTCCATATGTCATCAGTGGCAACACGCACTGGTTGTACAACTTAGTTTTCAGGTTTTGAGGCATACCTGACGAGAAGATGTGTCGTAATTTCCCGAACGCTGCCAAGCTGAGTTGAATCCGTCGATTGACCTCTCGATCGATGTTGGACTTATCTAGTCAGACTATTTGTCCCAGGTAAACGTTCTCGTCAACAACTTCAAGCTTAGTGCTCCCAACAACTAGGTGTGACATGGACATTAAACATGATCTTTGTTTTGTCCATGTCCATGTGATCTTAAGACCTATCCGTTGGGAGGCACTATTCAGGTCACTAAGCATAGTGCTAAACTCCTCCAGTGATTCTGCCATAAGAACTATATCGTCGGCAAATCGAAGGTGAGTGATGTACTCGCCATTGATGTTAATACCGTATCCTTTCCAGTCCAGTTGTCAGGTCCAGCTGGAAAACGTCTTCCAATGCAGCGGTGAAGAGTTTCGGTGAAATAACGTCACCCTGTCTTACACCTCTCCGCAGTTGTATAGGTTTCGTACTCTGGTTCTGTACTCGGATAGCCATCGTAGCCCTACTGTACAAACACTTCAGCACTACGACATACCGACAGTCAACTTGGCACCGCTGAAGAGACTGTAGCACCGCCCAGATTTCGACGGAGGCAAAGGCTTTCTCATAGTTCACATACGCCAAGCAAAGTGGCAGATTGTACTCTTCGGACTTCTGAACAATTTGCCGAAGGGTATGTATGTATGTGGTCTATGGTACTAAAGCCTTTTCGGAAACCGGCTTGTTCGGGAGGCTGGAAGTCATCAAGTCTGTGTGCGAGACGATTCGTAATGATTCTTGAAAACAACAGGTAGACGCGGCTCAGAAGGGATATAGGTCTGTAGTTCTTCAAGAGGGCGTTGACCCTTTTTTGAAGAACAAGACCACCGCACTTCAGCTTCACGCCTACGGAGTGCCACCATGGAGGATGGAATTTAAGAGCCTCTGAAGAACTTCAAGTACCGGTTTTCTACCCGCTTTCAGAAGCTCCGCTGTAATTCCATCCTCGCCCGGGGACTTGTAGTTTTTAAGGTGCTGGAGAGCCATTCTAATCTCGCTCAGACTGACGTCCGGTATATCATCGGAATAGGGTCGGATAAGACGTTCTCTTGGATCGTTACTCACACTTGCGTGTGGCTCCAACGATGATGTGTACAGCTGCCCATAGAACCTCTCAATCTCACTCAGAATCTCAGATGTCCCGAAAACGATGCTGCCACACTCAGTCTTCAGCTTTGAAAGTTGGCTCTTAGTAGCGTACAGATCTATGGCAAAGACTTTAGAGCCCTGGTTCCACTCAATCGCTTCTTCAATACGAGCAGTATTATAGTTGCGTAAGTCTCGCCGCATGCATTTGAAGATCTGCCTGTTCAGTTGCCTGTATGCTGTCAAATCTGTTGAAGACTGTAGCCTCATCTCCCGTCTAACAGCTATGAGATTAAGAGTGTGATCGGAGAGTTTTTATGTTCTTCTCCTCGGGTCTTGCAAAACTTAGCTCCGACCGCATGGACAGTTTCCACGAGCTTGTCATTCATATCGTACACTGCATTGCAATCTTCTAGGCACTGAAAGCGGTTAAGTAACTCGAGCTGAAAGGTTTCGTGATTGTGGATTAGAGCAAGAGGGGAACGGAGCGTTGACTTCATTAGACGAGACCTCTCCAACTTAACGTTTAGTTTCAGTGTGTTTCTAACCACTCGGTGATCGCTGCCAGTTTACACCCTTGCGATCACTGAGACATTACTGAACAGTTGGCGTTTGGTCGTAATTATGAAATCAATCTCATTTTTTTCGAACCGTCGGGGCTCAACCAGGTCCACTTTCTGTGGGGCCGCTTCTGGAAGAAAGAGTTCATCATAAAGAGTCCCTATTTCTCCATAAAGTCGGCTAGCTGTTGGCCCCTACGGTTCCGTTGCCTACTCCAAATTTCCCTAACTTCAGCTCACCACCTTCTCCTGTGCCTAGTTTTGCGTTTTTTCTCTCCGCACCGCACCGCCCATTCAGTGTCCTTCAGACATTGAATGTGAAGAGTTTTATAAATCTACGACATCCCGCGATCCTTTTACTGGTAGATACATTGTCGGCCTGCCATTTAAAGGTGAAGTTTACTCTCTCTGAGATTCTTACGAGACCTCTCGACAACGATTCATGTGCTTGGAGAGGAAACTTCAAGCCTCGCCTACATTAAGGTTAACATATGATGACGTCATAAAGGAATACTTAAAGCTAAAAATTATATATCCCCCCGCACCTCCGTATGACTCTCATGAACCCGCTCCAATATATGTCATACCGCATCATGGAGTCTTACGCGAAGATAAGAAGTCAACACGTCTGCGCATCGTCCTGGATGCTAGCAGTAAGACTAGCACTGGGCGAGCATTAAATGATATCCTGCATTCAGTACCAAATTTGCAAGGTGACTTGTTCAATATAATTTTAACTTTCCGCTTACATCTAATCGCTATGACAGCCGACTGTCGCCAACAATTCCTGCAAATAGTTGTACGCGATTCTGATCGTCGTTACCAATGCTTCCTATACCGCTTCCGTCCACAAGACCCACTTGTGTTGTACCACTTCAATCGCATACATACCATGCATTGCGAACGGTAAGACAGCTCATTGATGACGACGGCGCAAAGTATCCACTTGCGAGTCGTATCGCATCTACATCGCTATATATGGACGACATCGCGTTCTCTGTGCCCAGTGAATCCGAGGCCAGTGAGACCTCTCGGCAGTTGATAGACTTATACAAGGGTGCCCAATGGGACCTGATAAAATGGCATAGCAACCGTCGATCTGTTTTAGATGACCTCCCTACTTCCCATAAAATTACAGGAGAAGTAGAGTTCGATAAATCAATGCCACATAAAATACTAGGCTTGCATTGGTCTACCGGTAGTGACGCCTTTTACTTTAAGATATCTGTTCCCGCTGATGTGACGTGCACTAAGCGCGCTATCTTATCTACTGTCGCCCGCCTGTGGGACATAATGGGTTTCGTTGCTACCACAGTCGCGTACGCCAAATTGTTAATAAAGCAGCTTTGGCAATTTAATTTAGAATGGGACGAGATACCACCACCGCCAATTATTAAGATGTGGAGGCAATTCTGTGCTGAATTACCAGCTCTTAATGATTTACGTATCCCGCGACATATTGGTATATCCAAAAACAGTACTGCGTCACTCGTGGGGTTTTCCAACGCCAGCGAGCACGCATACGGTGCCGTAGTTTACATACACGTAAAGAGCGTCAATGGTAACACCAGTCCAGTTGATTTGTGCAAAGACTAAAGTCGCACCGACAAAACCACTATCTATTGCACGCCTTAAGCTTTGTGGAGCGGTTTTACTCTCAAAATTGCTTCGCAGAGTACTCGACAATTATTCTCTTGACCTTGCAATATCATTCTATGCCTTTGTAGATTTAAAAGTAGCTCTGTACTGAATAAAGAGTTCGCCACACAAGTGGCAGATCTTCGTTGCAAACCGCGTTGTTCAGATTACCGATAATATTCACGCTGATAACTTTTATCATGTCGCAGGTACTGAGAATCCCGCTGACATACTTTTACGTGGCGTTACGCCAAATAAATTAGTTTCAAACCCCTTGTGGCTACATGGGTCTCAATTAGATCCATCTT